CCCTACATTGCCTGTTGGGATCCTCGGTCCTGCTAGGCTGCTACCATTGTTCTTCTTTCAACACTTGTTTCTGTTGCGCCTGGACTTGCTGTTCTCGTAGCGTGCTTCTAAGGTGTCAGAGTCGCTCCTGCGGGAGCTACGGACCAACCAACTATCCTCGCCTATGCAAAAGCGGGTCATTAGTGAGGTAAGGGCCGCCATGGTCCTCAACTTATCCTGGCTGAGTTGTTGGGCGAGCCATTCGTCCCGTGTGCTATGCTTGAATGCCACAATTGCCTCGGTGTTGGGACAATCGACGATCTTGTTCTTTTTAGTTAAGAACTCGTGCCAGAATTGCTGAGTTGATTCGCCCTCCTTTTGGATGTTGTGGCTGAGGTTATCAGTGTCCGGGGGCCGAATGTGGGTGCCCTGGAAGTTTTCCCTAAAGGCCTCCTCTAGCTCCTCCCAACTTCCAATAGAATTTCTAGGGAGGCTGTGAAGCCAATGCCTTGCCAGTCCTTTAAGTTTGAGCATCAGGTATTTTATGGCGTGGAGGTCATCACCTCGGGCCATGTGAATGTGGACGAGGAAAACCTCGATCCAGACAGTCGGGTCAGTCGGTCCGTCGTATTGATCGATGTTGATGGGTTTAAACCCCTCTGGGAACTGGTGCTCCATGACCTCATCCATGAAACATGTTGGATGCGCAGGCCCTCGATCTCGAGTCACGTCTTGTCGGGTGCTGGCGATCATCCTAGCCCGTGTCTTCTCCCGATCTCTTTCGTGTCTGTCTAACGAAGCATCGTAGCCCTCCGAACCGGCGAGCACGCAAGCCCGTGATCCAAAAATGGATCAAGAAGGGGCGTTATTTTCCTCTATCTTGTCGCGCAAATCAAAGGGTTTGGGATGCTCGACCGCACTCGTACCATGAGGGCGGGTTCTGGCAGAGGGCTCCTTGGGTGCACTTGTTGGCCGATCTCGCCCTCTAGGGGGACGGTCAGCCTAGCCCGCCTACTCGCATGTAAGTGGCTCATTATCAGCTACCTCATCATTGAAATAAGGCAGCAACCGCCTTTTGGGAATGATTTGGCGGACGCACCTCGGGCCTCGACGTCCACTTCGACCGCAAGGATTGTCATCCATTTGTCATTAAGCGTGTTTTCTTGAGTGTACAACTCTTGCTGCTTCTTCTTCATGCTTCACGTGGTTGCGGTTAGCTGCCGTTGGAAATGTGCCTGCTCGGACGAGTTTGTGGGCACCACGAAGTCCTCAGGTCTAGGGCTAACTTTGCCTTCAGACTCGGGGAGGCAATCCATGTCCGACCCATCGTTGAAGGTGGCCATGTCCTTAAGATCTTCCCCCGCGGGTGTTCCTGTGGGCCCATTCTGTTGGGCGGGTGAGGCTTGGACGTCCTCACCTAGGTTCTTAGCAGCGTCGAGGGTAGAACCATTATCGGTGGCATCCGAGGTGTTTGGTCGTACTTCTGCTTCTGTTGTTGCCCTTCGGCCGCCTCTTAGGGCGACGACGCTTAGGGTTTTCACCGAGTTTCTCCTTAGGCTTGTCTTTAGGAGTGTCGGCCATGTATACGTCATAGGTAAACATTGCATCCCAATTCCCTATACTGGGTATGGCCGCTGATGGATTTGCTCCGGAATTGCCACAGATATCTTCGCCCATGTCAGTGGCTTCGTCGGGGCCGTAGTCAAGCACATCGGTCAAGTCCTCGACCATGGTGACTAGGTGGGTGGTGGGCAGGATGAAAAGTTCCCGATCTTCAGCTCTACATCTGATTTGATCATAAACGGCGGATGAGATTGCCAGGTTTTGGATTCGATCTAGCACCTCATTTATTTGCGAGAGCTCCTCGGCGTCCAGGCCCTGGTTGTAAGTCAGGCTGATCCAGAATAGTTTTTCTGGGTTTCTTGACATAGGACAGTCCTCCTGTTGGGCTGATTCCCGGTCGACGGGAGTAGCAACTACATCGGTCGTTGATGACGCTGGCGTTGCTGCCGACTCTGAAGACGAGCTCGGCTCAAGGCCAATGTTTGAGGACCCAACGTTTAAGCCGGGCATGACGATCACCAAATCTATCTTCGGGGTTGGTTCTGGGGAGAGGGCGGATTCGAGGATCTCATCGTAAGCCGGCTCCAAGACTACCACCGGAGGGGTCTTCAAACTGATCCGAGATCCATCCCGAAAGGACCAGGTCACCTTGGGTGTCCGCGGTGTACTCCAGACTTCCGAACATGAGGACTTGATTTGGAGCGAAGTTGTCGGCACAGCCTAGATGGCCAGTCAGATAGGCATGCAGCACAATGCCACCAAAGACGAAAAGCTGTCCGAGGACGAAGATGTCACCACAGCCAGTGTTGCTATCGATCTGCATACGAGCCATTGACTCTTAGTGACCAAACAACGAGCTCTCAATGAAAGCACCAGTGTCAGTGTCAAAAGCGAGAGACCTCGGGTAGGGGGGGGGGGCAAGCTGTGAAATCAAATCGATGGGTAATAGACACATGACATGATGCTTTTACCCAGGTTCGGGCCCTCTTTAAGGAGGTAAAATCCTACGTCGTGCTCTTGCTTATATCATGGGAGTACCAAAGTACATAGTTGATCTACCTCGAGACCGTGAGTTGTGGTCTAAACCCTAGGGGTATGATGAGGATCATGAATGAACGTGTCTCTACGGACTAAACCCTTTGGTTTATATAGGCACCGGGGGTATCTAGGGTTATGCATGGTTGGTTACCATCTAGGGATTACATGTCGAATCTAACAAATATACTTGAAGTGCACGCCAAGTCGTCGGTTGAGACAGACTAGAGGTCTCCGAAGTCTCACCTCCTTTTATGTGTTGGCAGTCCGACCCATGGAATAAACCAGCTAGGCTGGGACCCCCTAGTCCAGGACATCGTCACCAGGCTGGCAATGGTAGAACTATCCTATTTCAGGAGGATAAATGGATTAATGATCAGCTGGTCCTTACTTATCTACAACTACACTCCTTCAACCATTAGGACAAAATTCCTCGGCAACTGAGACAAGACAACTTGAGAATCTGTTTCATAGACCTCTCCCCATTCAAGCACACCAGCAATTCTTACAACTTCAAAACACTTTACTGACTAGTCAGGATGCACCTCACAATGATTCATGTATCTACCCCTAGGGACCAATCTATTCCGCTGCAAAGGTGTATAAATATCTCAGGGGTTCGAGGAAGGCAAACCCTCTATTCAAAGCATATGGAAGTGTGGTGTTATGCTCAGATCAAGCCATCAAGGTTTTCTTTGGCTGGCCCTCCATGATAGATTAAACATCACGAACTTCTCAATAAGAAATCTTTTTGCCTTCTTAGCTATTGTTGTGCCATGTGTAACGAAGGACAAGTAGAAAGTTAGTTGCACTTTTCTGGGACTGTACTTTTGCGCAAGAATATTGGTTTAAGATCCTATGAAGCAAGCACATAGGAATTTCTTTCTATGATGAAGTACACCCAGTTCTTTTAGATCTGCCCAAGGATATTGGACTTGACATTGTCATTCCGGGTTTTCGGTGTATTTGGACCCAATGTAATGATAAGATTTTAAAAGATGGAGTATTAAACTTTGATAAATGGGGATATATTATGAAGGATTTGCTCAAGTTCACAATGATGCGCATGAAACCTCATAAGGTCCAGCAACTCATGCTCTGTTCCCTGAGTTCACTATAATGTGTTCATATGTGGCCCAGAAAAGGAATTGGATGATATTTTCTTCTTTATTTTATCAGCTTAGCTGCATGCGAGTCACGTGAAAACACAATTTGGATCAGTCGATTTTCAGTGAAGGAAGAAACAACGGAGAGAAGGAAAGAGCAGGCCACCCCATTATCTATCTTAGGGGTGTGGAGGGCGATGAGCTCGCCGGAGAAGGCTACCCCAGTATCTATCTTAGGGGTGTGGGGAGGGGGTGCAAGTTCGCCGGAAATAAGCTTTCATCATCGGGGCTAGAGGGGTGGCTGGGGCCGGCGACAACACGACGGTGGGAGGAGGTTGAGAGGAGGGCGGGCAGCGAGGTTGTGCGGGAGCGCCGGCGGCCGCGGGTGGTGGTGGCCGGCGGTTTGACCGGTGGTATGTTCGTATGCGGGAAGAAGAAGAACAGGGGTGAGCTGGAGGTTGAAGAAGCAATCTGATCCGTGCGTCTTGCATCCAACGGCTGAAACAAATTCACTGACCCAGATTGAACTTCAATCGTCTTACACCTAGCAATCCCTTATTTTATCTTTATTTTCTAAATAATTATACATTATTAATAAAAAAGTAGAACAATTAAAAAATACTGAACGTCCCCTCCAGGTCTATAATCTGTCACCATGCCATTTTGCAAAGTGAAGTAGTAAAAAAAATGGTCTTGTGGAAAGCATCTGTAGAAAGCGACAAGAAATAGCATGGGAGATAGAGAGAGAGGAGACGAGACGTTCAAACTTGAAAGGCTGCCACTCCCCTGTTTCCCGCCGGCTCGCTCAGCTCTGCTCTGCGCCTTCTTCTGCACCACGCCACCCATCCCACACCACGCTCCCCCACACCCACACCACGCTCCGCCTTTCCCACTCTCCTTCCTTCGCTTCGTTGCGAGCCCAGATCGATGGCGCAGCCGCATCCGTCCTCCTCGTCCTCCGCGCAGCCGCCCTCCTCGCCGTGGGTCATCCTAGGCAGCATCCCGCGCGTCTCCGCACTGGCGGACGCAGGAGACGTCTCCGTCGAGCTGGCGGCGCTGCCGCGCGTCTCGATCCTCACCGTCCCCCCGCGCGTCTTCCCGGACCCCCCTACGCCCCGCAACTTCCCCTTCGTCCTCGCCGCCGACCCCTCCGGCCTTCTCCTCCTCCAGGCCAACCTGCACTGCGCCCCGACCCGTGAGGTCATCCGTCGCCCCGGCCTCCAGGAACTCTCCTGGAAATTCGCTACTTCTCGCTACTTCGTGCTCGACGCCACCACCGGCTCGGCGTTCCACCTCCCCTACCCTGAGGCCACCATCATGCACCAGGCCCTCCTCGGCCTTCTCGTCTCCCCCAGGGGAGGCGGCCACTACATGGTCGCGGAGCTCCAGCCCATCATCGGCTTGGATGAAGCCACGCTCCTTTGCTTCTCCACAGAGGTTGGGGAGTGGATCGAGAAGACCGTCCATTACCCGCTCCCGCCACGCCCGCTGGCTCCCATCTGCGTGGTTTCGCACCACGGGAGGCTCTGGTGGGTGGACCTCTCATGGGGCGTCATCACCTGCGACCCCTTCGCCGACGAGCCGGTCCTGGGCTTCGTTCCGTTCCCGCCGGGAAGGGTCCTGGAGTGCAGGGAAGGTTGGGGTGTCGCCGACAAGTTCCGTTACGTGGGGGTGAGCGGCGGCAAGCTGCGTTTCGTCGACATGTACATGGGCAAGCGTGCTGGTGTTGGTGGCAGCGGCACGCACACTCCCACTCCCACGGTAAGCGTGTGGACGCTGGTGTTAGACTGTATGTACGTGGCCTCTGTATTGTAACATTGTATTGTACCCCTTGGGTACCTCTATATAATGAGATAGCCACACCCCGGTTAGTGATGTCGTGCAGTTTCCAAAATATCTTGTTTTACATGGTATCAGTTTAGGTCACGATCACGATGTCTTCCGCTGCTCCCGCCGCCGCCGCCGTCGCGCCGACCTCCGTCGCCGTGGCCGCCGCCGCGCCGGTCCTTGCCCCTTCTTCGCCGTTCCTCTCCTCTGGGCCTCTCGTGGCGGCCTATGGGGCCCCGCCGCCGCCTGGGTCCCCGATCCAATCTCGCCCGCATGGCAAGACCTCGGGTGACCTAGCCCCAGTCGCGGCCGATGCCGCCGCGCCGCCGCTCTACGGCGCCGCCCCGCCGCCGGCCTATGGCGCTACCGCGCCCTCGCCCTACGGCTACTACCCGTATGGCGCGCCTCCGATGGCTCCTGGTGCTCCGCCGCTGCCGCCATCCTCGTGGCCGGCGTTTGGTGCGCCGCCTCTACATCAACCACCGGCGGCGCCACCGAGCCACCCCTATGGATCTTCGCCGTTGCCTCCCCAGCACCCCTACGCAGCCTACCCAGGGCCGCACGGGGCTGCGGCCTCCTACACAGGAGAGGCGGCTGCCTCGCTACAGCCGTCGTACGGGGCTGCGGCCGCGCCACAGCCGCATCCTCCCGGGACCGCGGTCGTCCCGCCCTACGGGGCCCACGCTGCTGGTCCTCCCGGGTTTCCCGCACTGTATCCGGTGTCTGCTGCTCATACCGACCCGGTCGCCGCGTCGTCACCGTTCTACTTTTCACATCTGCTACCGGTGAAGCTTGCGCCGGATAATTACTTGTCCTGGCGTGCCCAGGTGTTGCCTCTTCTGCGGAGCCGCTACTTGGAGGGATATGTTGACGGGTCCATACCGTGTCCACCACCCCACCACCCAGCGTACCACACCTGGGTGGCCCAGGATCAGGCCATCCTCTCCGCCATCCAGTCCTCGCTCACCCCGAGCGTCTCGTCGCCGGTCATCTTCGCCGCTACATCCCGGGAGGCGTGGGCGGCGCTTCACACCAGTTTTGCCTCTCAGTCTCAGGCAAATGCTCACTCTATCCGCACCGAGTTGGGTGAGACGAAGCTTGGTGACCTCAGCATCACCGACTACTTCAACAAGATGCGGGGTCTCGCCGACACATTGGCCTCCATCGGCCAGTCGCTATAGGATCAGGAGTTCACCACCTTCGTACTGAATGGGCTTGATGATGATTATGACAATCTCATTGAGAACGTTCACGGGCGCGATGACCCGCTACCACCTCGTGAGCTCTACGCCCGTCTGCTTGGCCGCGAGCAGCGCATCAAGGCGCGCCGAGCCTCTCCCAGTTTCGCCTCCGCCAATACCGCAACTCGCGGCAAGCCTCAGCGGTCATCTTCGTCCGGAGGCAAACCAGCGCTACCCTCATCACCAGCTTCGAGGGGCAGCGCTCCGACCATCACAGGTGGTAACCGGCCCGTGGCGTGTTGTTCTTCTTGTGGTGCCCAACAGGCGTGCCAGCTATGTGGCTTGGAGCGCCACATTGCCTCTCGCTGTCATCGTCGCTACAAGCAGGATTTTCTGGGCCTTGGCAACAACGGAAAGGGGAACGACAAGCAGGCCGCCGCTGCTGTGACGAGTCATGATCATGGTCGCACTCCGTCATACTCCGTTGATCCTGCATGGTACATGGACACTGGAGCTACCAACCACCTCACCGGTGAGATGGGTAAGCTCTCTACTCAGGAGCCATATCGCGGTCATGATCAGGTGCACACCGCTAGTGGAGCAGGTATGCGCATCTCTCATGTTGGTCAGGCTTCTCTCCTTGCACACAACTTTCGCACATTGCATGTATCTAATGTCCTTCGTGTTCCTTCTGCTACACGTAGTTTGTTGTCCATTCCTCAACTTACCCGTGATAACAATGTCCTTGTTGAGTTCACCCCTTTCGTTTCTTTATCAAGGATCGGGACACGAGGGCCGTTCTGCTTAGCGATCGTCTTCGCCATGGCCTGTATGCACTTGATGCGCCGCGCTCCTCTTCCACGTCGTCCTCTCCTCAGGTGTTCAGTGGTGTTCGTGTGTCGCCTACACACTGGCATGCGCGCCTTGGTCACCCGGCGACTCCCATAGTTCGACATATTTTGCATCGTCATGATCTACCAGTTGTGTCCAATAAAACTGCTGAAACAATTTGTGATGCCTGTCAGCAGGGCAAGAGTCATCAGCTTGCGTTTTCAGAGTCTAGTCGTGTTGTGAAACATCCTCTTGAGCTTGTGTTTTCTGATGTATGGGGTCATGCCCAGACATCCATTAGTGGTCACAATTATTATGTCAGTTTCATTGATGCTTACAGCCGTTTCACTTGGTTATATCTTATTAAGCGAAAGTCTGATGTGTTTGATGTCTTCATTCAGTTTCAAGCACATGTTGAGCGCCTTCTTAAGCACAAAATCATCCATGTCCAATCCGACTGGGGGGGTGAATACCACAACCTCAACTCGTTTTTTAATGAGCTTGGGATCTCGCACCGCGTGTCATGCCCTCACACACATCAGCAGAATGGTGCTGCTGAGCGTAAGCATCGTCATCTTGTTGAAACTGGCTTAACCTTGCTAGCTCATGCCTCCGTCCCGTTTCGGTTCTGGAGTGATGCTTTCTCTACAGCTTGTTTTCTTATAAACAGGCTACCCTCGAGGCTTCTGAAAATGCAAACTCCGCTTGAGCTCTTGCTTAATGGGACTCCGGACTACACTTTCTTCAAGGTGTTTGGGTGTGCCTGCTGGCCTCATCTCCGTCCATACAACAAGCGCAAGCTAGAGTTCAGGTCTAAGAAGTGTGTCTTTCTTGGGTACAGTTCTCTTCACAAAGGGTACAAGTGCCTACATGTTCCTACCAACCGCGTCTACATCTCTCGTGACGTTGTGTTTGATGAAAATGTGTTTCCCTTTCGTGCACTTCCGACTGACCTCACCACTTCCACTTCCACACCACCAATGCCTGTGTCTACACCTACGCCTGATCAGTTTGTGGATGTTGCATATGCCCCTGCGTTGCTTCCTAATCATGCTGCAGGTATTGGACGCGGTGCTCGGCTCGAGCTCCTTGATGAACAGGTCGCTGATGATTCTTCTGGTCGGGACGTGCATGTGCCATGCATAACGGGTGGCACCCGCCAACCCGCTCTCCGGTCGCCCGAGGCGGTCCGCCCGCCTGGCTCACCCATGCCAGCGCCAGTGGCGGGTGCCTCGCCCACCTCGTCCGACTCGCAGGACCCGGCCACCCCAGTAGCCGCCTCGCCCGGCTCGCAGGCTTCGCCAGTGGCCACCTCGCCCGACCCGCGAGCCTCGTCCACACCAGCGGGACCCTCGCTCGGCTCGCCTGGCTCGCGGGCGTCATCAGCCCTGCGTGGCTCGCCTGGGCCACTGGCGGGGGCGTCCCCTGGGCCGGCCGGTGCTGTCGCTAGCCCAGCGGCCTCGTCGCCTGCCTCGGCCACTGGGGAGCCTGACTCGCCGGACTCGGCTTCGGCCTCGTCCACGACCTCTGCTGATTCTGCTCCAGCTCCGGCTCCGGCAGATTCTGCCGTCACACTTCGACCGCGCACACGGAGCCAGTCTGGTGTGTTTCGCCCGAAAGAGCGGACAGATGGCACGGTTGCGTGGCTTGCTGCGTGCATGGCTCATACTGCTGGCGACCCTAATGCAGAGCCTCGTCACTTTCAGGCTGCGTTGAGTATTCCTCATTGGCGTGCTGCAATGGAACAAGAGTTTTATGCCCTCCAACAGAATGATACTTGGCGTCTTATTCCTCCAAAGTCTGGTGTCAACATCATTGATTCCAAGTGGGTTTTCAAGGTCAAGCGCCATGCTGATGGTTCCATTGAGCGTTACAAGGCACGGTTAGTCGCCAAGGGCTTCAAACAGAGGTATGGTCTTGATTATGAAGACACGTTCAGTCCAGTTATCAAGCCTACTACCATTCGGTTACTACTGTCTCTTGCGATTACTCGTGGATGGTTCCTTCGTCAGCTTGATGTACAGAATGCCTTTCTCCATGGCATTCTGGAGGAGGAGGTTTATATGCGTCAGCCGCCTGGTTTTGTTGATCCGACACGACCTCATCATCTCTGTCATCTGGTCAAGGCGCTGTATGGACTGAAACAGGCTCCTCGTGCATGGCATGCTCGTCTTGGATCCGTTCTTCGGGCTCTTGGGTTTACTCCATCCACTGCTGATACATCACTGTTCCTCCTCCAGCGCCCTGAGGTTACGATGTATATCCTGGTTTATGTTGATGATATCATCCTTGTCAGTTCTTCGGCTGCTGCAGCTGATCGCCTTGTGGTTGCTCTTCGTGATGATTTTGCTGTCAAGGATTTGGGTGCTCTTCACTTTTTCCTTGGTCTTGAGGTTTCACGGTCCTCTGCAGGTTTGACTCTCACTCAGAAGAAGTACTCCTTGGACTTGTTGCGTCGTGCTGGAATGCTCAAATGCAAACCTGTTTTCACTCCGATGTCTGCTACTGATCGGTTGTCTTCTCTTGATGGTGACTCTCTCTCGGCTGATGATGCTACTGAGTATCGCAGTATTGTTGGTGGTCTGCAATATCTCACTATCACCAGGCCTGATATCTCCTATGCAGTTAACCGTGTCTGTCAGTTTTTGCATGCACCCAGGACGTCTCACTGGTCAGCCGTCAAGCGTATTTTGCGCTATGTCAGTAGTACTGCTGCCTATGGTCTGCATCTTCAGCCTGCACCGTCATATGAGCTCTCGGCCTTCTCTGATGCCGACTGGGCTGGTTGTCCGGATGACAGGCGATCCACGGGGGGTTATGCGGTATTTCTGGGTCCTAACTTGATCGCCTGGAATGCTCGCAAGCAAGCAACTGTGTCTCGCAGCAGTACTGAGGCTGAATACAAAGCCGTTGCTGATGCAACTGCTGAGATCATATGGGTACAGTCTCTGTTGAGAGAGTTGCGTGTTCCTCAAGCTCGTCCTCCAGTTCTGTGGTGTGACAACATTGGTGCTACATATCTTTCTTCTAATCCAGTGTTTCATGCGAGGACAAAACACATTGAGGTGGATTATCACTTTGTTCGGGAACGTGTTGCACAGAAGCTACTCTGTATCAAGTTCATCTCATCAAATGATCAACTTGCTGACATCTTCACGAAGCCTCTACCACAACCACAGTTTGTAGGCTGTAGGCGCAATCTTAACTTGCTTTGTACTTCAGGACATAGTTAAGACTGAGGGAGAGTGTTAGACTGTATATACGTAGCCTCTGTATTGTAACGTTGTATTGTACCCCTTGGGTACCTCTATATAATGAGATAGCCACACCCTGGTTAGGGGTGTCGTGCAGTTCCCAAAATATCTTGTTTTACAGCTGGGCGATCCAGACTCCAGGGAGTGGACGCTGGAGCAGGAGGTGGGCTTTACAGAGATCTGGGCCGATGAGAGCTACAAGGCGGCCGGGCTGCCGGAGAAGGTCCCCATCGTCGCGCTCATTCACCCCAAGAACCCCGATGTGGTCTACTTCTTCCTCGAGGAGCACCTCTTTGGTGTTGACATGCGTGCTCGCAAGGTGGTGGAGTGCCAGGTGTATGGTCTTGTTGCGCCTCCGAGCATCCGCCTGGCCAGCCGCTTCGTTCGGGCTTGGGAGCTGCCACGGGCGCTCTCCTCCTCAGGTAAACGCTTTGCTGCCCATCATCTTTCAACATTTGCCCTCCTAAATTACCTTTTACTAGTATTCACAATTGTTAGATGAATTGCTTCAAAAATGCTATATCTATTTTCTGATTGATATTGTGTTTGTTTCATGCCTCTACACGGCCATTTTCTAACTCTACTGCATCTGCATATTTCTGCACAAGCATGGCTTCTCTAGCTGTTCAGCATTCATCTGATATATATTCAAAAAGTTGATGCGTGGACTACTTGAGGATCGGTTTTGCTCCCTTGCAGTGCTTAAGGCCATAGAGTGTCAACTAATATTTGTCTTGGGTCCCAAAAAATGATGAACACGGTTACTGTACCAATAATATCGACTTTTACTTGTACAACTACTTTTATTTGTGTATAATTCATGCTGAGGTGCTCCTAGTTATCTTGACTAGGGGAATTACCCGGCCCTCTTGTTATGAATGGGTGAGGATCAGACTTTACCACTGTACTCTACAACCGATAGTATATACGCTTGCAGTCGAGAAGAATGTACTATTAGTTAGAACAACCATCTCCTCATGTATGTATATAATTTTAGTTGTTTGGTTTATCCTTGAGGTCTGGTAGCAATAATAAGGCTGGTGGGAATAATACAAATAATAATGCTACGTCGTACATTATGTTTCGAAATCCAGATTTGTCTGACTAATATTGCTCGTCTTTGAAGGCGAGTGGTCTAATGGCATCGACTTGGCTGAGAGCGCTAATGCACGCCCATACCAGCCCACGCCAGGGGACTACCACTTGGTGGGGGACACCAGGCAGACATTCATAGGTTGAATTGGAGGAACATGAAGCAGCTAGCAGTCTCCTATCTAGCCTAGGTATGCTCAGTCAGTTTACCATAGCGTTGCTCTAGCCCCAAACACAAGTATACGTACGAGGAGCCTTGCTCCGGTGCACCCCCCTAACTCAATTTCCTAGGGGTATTCTTGACCCCCGCCATCTATTTTTTTCTCCGGCCCGCCGCTGCCCATATCCAAACCCCGTAGCCCATATCCAAGCCCCGTATAACCCGTATGACCCATACATATGTATACGGTGACATCCCGAAAAAAAAGGATGCCACGACCCCACGACCAGGTAGGACCTGCCGACGGCCGATCCATCAATCACGCAGCTCAATCAATCACGCAGCTCCATCATTCACGCAGCTCCTCCATCATTCTGGTGAGGTTCTTTAGGAATATCGGCGGCGGCGATCTTATCGCCGGCGATCTCGTCCGAGAGCGCGCGCGGCACCGTCGTCAACCTCCAGCGCTCGCAGGTACCGCATCTCGTTTCCTCACGTTTGTCTCGCTCGCGGCAGCATCAAACGAACTGCCGCTGTTTTTGTCGTAGTGGTTAACCTAGCGGGGCGGGTAACCTAGCTTTCTGGCGGTCCAGGCCATCGCAGATCTTGTTCTGGTAGTGATGCTCGTCGTGATATACACAGTGATCACGCGGGCTAAAGTGGGTTTCTTCTTTCTAGGGTTAACCTAGCGTCGGTTGCCGTCGGTTGTGTGCACGACGGATCCGTTATTTGATGCGGCGGCTTAACTAGGTATCCGGCGATCCAAAGTAATCACGATTGGTGCCATGGGCTAGGAATCCGGCGGCGCATGTTATCACGGGTAGCGCAGCTTCTCGCGATCCAAAGTGATCACGTACTGGATTCGTGGGACGTACCTTAACGCCGCTCAGTGTGGAGAGGGGGAGGATCCATGGCTGATCAGAGGTCGTTGGCGTCGGTTGTGTGCATGATCTGAACGCCCTCAGTTGGGGCGCTCTCCGGTTGGGGTAGTTTATTTAACATCCATGATTCGTGTGCTAGGTGTTGTATATGTCAGCATTGATAATGTTTGCATATGCGATGATACATATTAATTGTTGTAGGAAATGGCGGACGATGAGTTAACTGATATGATGTATGACATGGAGTTTGGAGAAGTGATGAAAGACCGGATAGAAGATTGGTCAGATGATGAAAATTCAGATCGTGGAGATAGGTCAGAGAATGGGAACGTATTGGAAGATCTTAATGTGAGTCGCATTATCATGTTGTAATTTTTTGGTGGCATCCGACAATATTATATTTTGAAAATTCATAGATGGATGAACATGATGATGGTCAGGAAAACAATGAGCATGATGATGGTCAGGAAAACAAGTCGGAGATCTCGAATGAGGATTACATTAGTCAGGTATGGAAGTGGAATTTTTTGTTGGCATTCATGCAAGTTGAATAAATCCTGGAATATTATATTATAAGTACTTATGTATTTGTGTTATATTTTTCAGCTCATTTCCGAATGTCATAATGCGTACGACTATTACGGTGAATCCGACGTGGAGACAGGCCTTGATGCCGAATCATTAGCTGCACCTGATTCTAGGGAGTCGCAATCGTCGATCATCATGAGTGAGGTATGTATGTGATGAATGTTGTATGGAAGTAATGCTATACCATAGAAAACTGTTTTCATGGCTATGTTATGATTGTGTAGGTGACAGAAGTTGAGGGGAAAAAGAATGTCCAAGATACTGCTAGTGCAGATGATAAGAGGGATATGTTCATGCAGATAATACAAAAGACTTACGTCTCATGAGGCTGCGTATGATTTCTACAACAGCTATGCTAGAGAAAATGGTTTCAGCATTAGAAAAAATAGGGTCAGGTATACCAAAACCGAGTCATGTCATATGCGTTATAGGCGGTTTTGTTTGTTCCAGATAAGGAAAACATGATAGCAGGTTGCTAACCGAGGAAGGACACAGCCATAGGCTCAGACCCGAGACACACTGCCACTGCGAAGCGCACCTGACCGTGAAGTTTGACCAAAAGCGTGGGATTTGGTATGTTGATAGTTTTGAGGACAAGCATAGCCATATCTTGGCAGGACCGGACGAGGTACCTTTTTTTTGGTCCCACAGAAAAATCAAAGAGTACCAGAGAGCTGAGATACTATCCATGGGAGCTGCAGGGATTAGAATTCACGACATGATGGATTCGTTCATCAGCAAACATGTATGGTATGGCGGTGTTGGTTTTACCAGGCGTGAAATATACAACCTTTGTGCCAGGGAGAAGAGGAAGCTGCTTTCAAAAGGTGATGCTGCCACAGTCATAGGCATCATGGCCAGTAGGAAACAGAGGGGTCCTAGCTTCTTTTTCGAGTACAAGCTAGACAAGAAAGGACATATGAATAGGATGTTCTGGTGTGACTCCCAGTCTCATCATGACTATGAGGACTTCAGCGACGTGCTTGTATTTGACAGCACGTACAAGATGAACCGGTATGGTATGCCATTCATACCCTTTGTTGGTCTTAACCATCACCGGAAGACCACTGTTTTTGCTTGTGCCATAGTTTCGGACGAGACCGAAGAGACATATGTGTGGCTGCTGGAGACTTTTTTGAGGTCCATGTGTCAAAAGGTGCCGAAGAGTGTTATCACGGACGCCGACGCTGCGATGATCAAGGAAATTCGCCAAGTCTTGCCAGACGTGTGGCAACGTATATGTACGTGGCATATAGAAAAAATATGAAGATTCACCTCAGTCACAAGTCCTTGAAGGAGTTCCGAACTCTTCTGTACTACAGCACGTCCACGGCCACGTTTGAGGAGAGATGGCATGCGTTTTCCAAAAGATGGCAGTCGGAAAAAACAGTAACATGGTTGAGACGGATGTATAAGAAGAGGAGACTGTGGGCCGCGGCTTATCTGACAGAGGGTTTTTGGCTTGGCATGAAAAGCAACCAGAGGAGTGAAAGTCTAAACTCATGCCTTCACCTCCACCTAGACGGTGAAATGACCCTGGTGGATATGATTTTGCACTATGAGAACGCCATTGTACGTATCCATGAGAATGAGGCACGAGATGATTGCACGGCCTCACAGAGTGTACCGGTGGCAGTTACTAGCTCGAGGGAACTTGAGATAGCTGCTTCTCACGTCTTCACTCCAGCAAACTTCCATATGTTGCAAGCTGATCTTAGGAAAATTGGCAGCATGGAGATTGTAGAAATAAAGCTCGGAGACGGATCACAGTAGTACATCGTGGCCTAGAAGAATAACCGGAAGAGCCGTTTTTGGGTGGAGTACACTCCAGTAAATTCCGCAGAAACTATAAGGTGCAGCTGCAGAAGAATGATTCGAAAGGGTCTACCTTGCAAGCACATATTCCATGTACTAAAGTACTTGAATATATCTGAAATACCAAAGTGTTTAGTTCTTGTGCGGTTCACGAAAGACGCAAGGTTGGGACTGCCCGCGAGGCGCATAAGTGATCTGTTGGATTTGGATGGACTGGAGCAGCTGAAAGAATAAAATATAGCCAGGTCAGTGTGTTGGCTTCAGAAGCTATGCAAGCAGCATGCAAACACCCAGCTTTGTGGGATCAGTTACAGGAGAGTTTGAAGACCGTGATAGCTAAGAGCCATGAGTATGATCAGCTAAAGGAAATTTTGAGTAAGAAAACGGCTGATCTTAGTACTTGTGCAATTGAATATGTAGACAATGGTGAAGGCAACATAGTTGAAGTTCAAGATCCTATTAAAGTACCAACGAAAGGTGCAACTAAGGTAGATGAGAACCGCCCTATGTCGAAAAATGGTAGGCCACTTTCGTACGACGAGATCAGAATCAGGTGCGGTGCATGCAAATTGCTAGGGCACACTAAACGCAGCAAGAAATGCAAACTAAATAAGAAGTATGTTTTTGTACGCATTGTAGGTTATAATTGTTTTTAATTTGTCATTCATTAACTTATCCTGTTATCGTGTGCAGAAGCGTGGTGGGCGAAGAAGAGTAGAACAATTGCTAGAGTTATGTTTGGATGAATCCAGTGATCTAATAGTGAGGTGTTTACAATGTGTTACTGCATACATGATACATGATATATAATATTGCAAGAGACCAGTACCTTGAGATAGTTCTTGTAGCATATATGGACTAAACAGGAGGCGGTCACTAGAGAATTTAATCATGGAAAATGGATAGCATTTTAGCCATTGTAATGATGTCATCTTTTGTGTTGTCCACTCAAATTATATTATATTAGAAAACTAGACGATACCCGGCATGTTGTTGCGGGAATGTTTTGCAATATATTCATAGAGAAATGGTTACGTATAACATGTATATGTTGTTGCGGGAATCTTTTGTTTGCATGTTGTAGTGGACCTTTCTCCATGCATGTTGAATGACAAGGTGGCAAACTTGCACGTTAAGAGAAATAGGTTAGTGGTGGCTAGTTGTTTAGATATAGAAGATGTAATTATGTGTGGTAATAATTAATTTTTTTTCACTCCTTTGGTTCAGCACCATTTAGATATGGAAGATACCAGCTCACGTTGGTCTATAGTATAGACTTCGTACCAAAAACCCACCATTTTCACCTCATAAAGAAAAGAAAAACCCACCATTTTAGGGCTTGTAGTGTAACTCGGGCCGCTTGTGGCGATGACGTGGAGGGGGGGGTGACGGATGCCGTTAGACGGCGCGACACACGGCTGCTCCCGTTGCCGAGCCCATTTAACAATTTTTATTTTGATTACAGCCCGTTTAAATGGGCCGCGCTGGCCACCTGGTCGGGGTGGTTCTTCCCTTGCGATCTCCACGCACGTTCTATCTATCCAATGCGACCGCCGCCGCCACCACCACCGATCCACGTCTTGCCGCCGGTCACGTTACGCCATGGTTTCGTGGAGCGACGAGTCGAGCTCTTCTTCGGATGGCGAATCCGTGACTAGCCTGCAGGTACGCTCCTACTATATAATCTCCAGATAGTGCTAGGC